CCCTGTCTTATAATGTTGGACTAGGTTGTGGGCAATATTAATTACAGCTTGGTTATCACACTATAACATCATGGGCTCCTCTGCATCTATCCCAATCTCACTCAACAAGGATTAACCCAAAGTAATTCTGAAACACTATAGGCTATAGATCTATATTCAGCCTCTACACTTGACCTAGCCACCACTGATTGCTTTTTACTCTTCCATGAAACCAAATTTCCTCCCACAAAGGTGCACACCCTTGATGTGAATCTCCTGTCATCTAGACAACCTGCCCAATCTACATTTGCATAGGACTCTAGTTTCAAATTCCCATGATCTGAGAATAGAATTCCTTTGCCCATATGCTTTTTCAAGTAAGCAAGTATTTTATCAATGGCTTCCTAGTGGTGAACCTGAGGAGCGTGCATATACTGACTCACAATACTAACAACATAGGAAATGTCCGGGCGTGTCATACATAAATATAGTAGTCGTCCTACCATACTTCCTCTATAGTTCGGGTTAATAGGAGTATCAGCTGGTTTAACTCCTAGCTTCCTAGTTTCCTGTAGTAGGTCCAACACATACTTCCTCTAAGAGATGAATATCTCATGCTTCAATCTTGCAACCTCAATCCCCAAAAAATATTTTACTTCAACTAGATCTTTAATTTCAAATTCTTGTTGCAGTGACTTCTTGAGTGCATCGATCTCCCTCAAATCATTCCCTGTAACAACTATATCATCCACATACACAATCAGTTATCTCATGCTTCAATCTTGCAACCTCAATCCCTAAAAAATATTTTAGTTCAACTAGATCTTTAATTTCAAATTCCTGTTGCAATGACTTCTTGAGTGTATCAATCTCCCTCAGATCATTCCCTGTAACAACTATATCATCCACATACACAATCAGTACTAACACAAGTGTTTCTCTCCTCTTCACAAAAAGTGATCTGACTAGGTTTGTGTGTTCCAAAACGGATCAATGTCCCCTTAAACCTATCAAACCATGCTCTAGGTGACTATTTCAAACCATATAATGACTTGTTTAGCCTGCAATCTTTTCCCTCACCAATATTCTCATATAAATTGATTGGAAGATCCATATATACCTCCTGCAAATCACCATTAAGAAATGCATTTTTAGCATCAAGCTAGAAGAACGACCATTAATAAGTAGTTGCTAGAGACAAGAGGATCCGAACTAAGCTCATCTTAGCTACTGGTGCAATGGTCTCCAGATAATCTATACCATCGGTTTGTGTATACCCTTTTGCAACCAACCTTACCTTGTACCTCTCTATGTTGCCATCAGCCCTGTACTTCACAGTGAACACTCATCTACATCCAACTGTCTCCTTTCTTGTAGGAAGATCAACTATCTTCTTTGTCTAGTTCTTAATCAAAGCCTCCACTTCTTCTATCATAGTTGTTCTCCACTCAGGTTTGGAAAGAGCCTCACTAACATTCCTGGGTATAACAGAATCTAGCGAAGAAAGGAARACACAATAAGAAGGTGATAGGGCATTGTAAGAGTAATGGTGTTAAATGCAATGGGTTGTACACTTTCTCTTTCCTTTGGGGAATGCAATGCAAAGATCAAGATCAGCTATAACATCAATGTTAGGTACAAAAACAACATCAATGGGGTTAGAGGCAATAACAGGTTCAAAAGAAATACCTAGATTTGTATCAGTCGAACCTAGAATCTCAGATGGACCAACGAAGAGTGGTATAGGTTCTTCCACTAGAGCATGAGTGGAATCAACCCTCTTGCGTTGGCGTTGAAATAATTGTGAGGCAGTCGTAGTGGATCAGGTAGTGGAACTAGAGCTGATGGTGGAGCAAAAGGTGGAACTGATGGAGCTAATGGTAAGGTTATCAATGGGTCAGGTCTGGATCGGGTCTAGCTAGAACCAAAACCAACCCAACATGAAATATTGAGGCTTCAAAACCGATCTAGACTCGATAGGGTCTGTAATTTTTAGGCCCAGAACCAAACCGATCAGTTCTCGGGACAATCGAAACTGACCCGACGAACCCGATTATAATAAATAAATATATATGTTTAATATATACTAAATATTATATATTGTACAGTATATATATGATTTATTTAATATATTATGTATATAGCTTTGGTCGGGTCTGAATTGGTTCGGGACTAGGTGGAACTGGTTCTGAACCGATAATAATTGGGACACTATATTAGGACCCAGAACTGACCCGTCGATTCTAGTTCCTGGAATCAGAACTGGTTCAATCAGTTCAGGTCCGTCAGGTAGGACTTGACCCATTGACAACCCTAGTTGATGGACCAGATGAAGGAACAAGAAAAGGAGCAGACTATGAGTTCTCCTCCATAAAACACTCCCCCTGAAGAGAACCACCAAAGGAAAAGAATGTAGGCTCAAAAATGGTAGCATCCAGATTGACAAACCCATTCCTTAGCACTGGATCATAACAACAATACCCCTTCTACTTTTGAGCATACCCAAGAAAAACACGTTTATTGGCCTTAAGATCCAACTTCCTAGGATGATGACCAAGAATGTAACAAAACAGACACACAAAAACTCTGAAAGGTATATGAAATATCTCTCCACCTGGAAAAAGAAGACTGAATGGCACCTTATACCCCAAGATGTGTGAAAGTACACTCCCTAAGTCTTCTTCTTTGTTGCATAACGTAAAGCCTAGACAAGGTAACATGGTTAATATATTTCTTATTTATACCATGTATGGGAATATGGTTCTGTTAGCAAGAAATGGCATTGTGTTGTTTGCAAGTGTGCATAAACCAAATGTTAATCCAACCACAAATAGTGATTTAAAAGACACGCCTAGGCCACAAGCAAGGTGCATTTTAGGGTATGCACCTTGCCTAGGTCCTAGGTGCATTTTAGGGTATGCACCTTGCCTAGGTCCTAGGTGCACCCCTTTCAAAAGGCGCACCAGGCGTGTGCCTTTTTTAAAATTCTGCACTTTTTGCTTTTTTTTTTAGCCTAACGGCTGGACCGGAGCGGCGGAGAACCCCCTATTTGCTAATGTTGTTCATTCATTTATTCCAATAAAATATCTTCTTCAAGTTATAAAATTATTATTTTTATGTGAGAAATAAGAATTTAAGACTCTAACATGGACTTGTTCGGGCTTGCCTCGAGGGGCATGGTACAAAGGCGACTTGTAGAATCAAGAATACAATATGTTTTACATCACACTATCTACTTTAAGTAATGCAATTGAGGGAAAAAAAGAGATCGTGGGTTTTACATGCTTGAAAATTCTTTATATGTTTGCTTTTATTTTTATATTTTCATTTGAATACGCTTTACATGTTATGTTTATGTATTTTAATTTTAGATAATAGGTTTTTTAAAACATTTATTTTAAAATTTAAGTTTATATTTTTATTAATATTATGTTTAATATTTTTTGAATTTTTTTATTTTTCTAAGTTTTTCTTTTTGAATTTTTAGCTTTTTTTGTATGTTGCGCCTTACTTCAAAAAGGCATGTTCCTCAATTTCTGCCTTGCGCCTCAGGTACAAATTGGCCCTTGCGCTTTTTTTTTTTAGCCTTGCGCTTTTAAAGCACTGACCACAAATAGGTATAACCCAAATTTGTTCATCCCCAAGTATAAAATGTGGTCGCACCTAGGTGCATTTTAGGGTATGCACCTCGCCTAGGTACTAGGCACAACCCTTTCAAAAGGCAGACGCCTTATGCACCTTACGCCTCAGCCTAGGTATGTGCCTTTTGAAAATTTGATGCTTTTTTGCTTTTTTTGAACCTAGCAGTTGGGCTCACCGAAGCTCTGAGAACCTCCTATTTGCTAATGACATTCATATATTCATCATAATAAAATATCTTCTTAAAAAGTAATTAAAATTATAAAATCATTATTTTTTGTGTGAGAACTAAGAATTTAAGACCCTAACATAGACTTGTTTGAGCTTGCCTCAAGGGGCGTCGGCCGTGTGGCACAAAAGCGGCTCGTAGAATCAGGAATATAATATGTTTTACATCACATTAGCTACTTGAAGTAATGCAATTGATGAAAAAAAGAGATTGCGGGTTTTACATGCTTGAAAATGTGTTTGCTTTTATTTTTAAATTTTCATTTGAATGCGCTTTACATGTTATGTTTATGTATTTTAATTTTAGATAATAGGTTTTTTAAAACATTTATTTTAAAATTTATGTTTACATTTTTTATTAACATTATGTTTAATATTTTTTATTTTGTTGACATTTTTTTAAATTTCTGAATTTTTTTATTTTTTTAGCTTTTTTCTTTTGTATTTTTGCGCCTTGCTTCAAAAAAAGGCACACGCCTCAGGTGCAAATTGGCCCCTGCACATTGCACTTTTAAAACATTGGGTCTTGCAATATTCATATTAGTTCAAAATATTCAGATGCATCATGAAACAATATTTTTTAAAACAACATTTCTTTCAATGAATCCACAGAATTCTACAGAAATTATGTGAGAATTTTCAAGTGCAGAGAAACCCTAGAAGTAAAAATGGACAATCCTGAGGCAAATCCTGTTTTCACAATGTTCAGAAAGCAAGAACTAAAAAAAGGATAGGTGCAAAGGCTAAATGGAAGCTGTCTAATGAATGAAGTTGACTGTGTTGCATTGGTAGAAAGGATGGAGGATAGATCTATATGCATATATATACATACTGAAATATCACATAAAATGATTTAATGACAATCTAAGTCTGTATTTTTTATATGAAAAAGAAAAGGGAAATTTTTTTGTGAATCAATTCCAAGTTCAAGAATAGAATATTCAATGATCAAACATTTCACTCCAAAGTCTGAAAGATCTTTTGAATAACTGATGGATCTGATGAGAATAATAAGAGTCATCAAAATCTCCATATGTGACATTGATGTAGATTACCATGCTTTAGGTTGCATGGCATGATAGTATTCCATCTTTTAATTATATATTGATTTGTTGTCATGACTTGGATGATGGTTTGTTTGTTTTGATTGAAAGAACGAGCCAAACAACTTGCCAATGTGATTGGAGGAGAGGCCATACCTCTAGATGAACTAGGTGACTTCCATCCAGAGAACAAGATGATCCTGGCAAATGCAACACCTATAGGAATGCAACCAAAAGTTGATGAGACACCCATACCTAAGGTTTGTCCCCCTCCCCCCTCCAAAAGCATGGACACACACACATACAAACATGCTTGTCTTCATATTTATTTCATATGTTTTATCACACTGCAATCTGGTTTTAGGGATCTCTTACTCTTGTACTTTTCTATGTGCCCCTAGTGCACTTACAATTAAAAGATATATGGAATTAAGTTAGAAGGAATTTGTTTCCAACAATCACAAGAAAATAAAATTTTCATCGCTTCTACTTTGGTATAGAACATGTATTCAAAACCTAGAAAAAAAAAAGAAAAAAGATTGAAGAACCTCCTTAAGAAAAATATCATAACATTACCCATTTCTTTGTAATCATACAATTTCTGAACCCAATGAATGGAGATTTTGTCCTTCAGCCTGTGAGCATGGAATGTGGATAGAGAACTATAGTACAGGAGTTCAAAACCTAGAAAAAAAGAGATTGAAGAACCTCCTTAAGAAAGATATCATAACATTACCCATTACCCATTTCTGTGTAATCCTATAATTTCTGAACCCAGTAAATAGAGAATTTTGTCCTTCAGCCTGAGCATGGCATGTGGATAGAGCACTATGTTGGGACAGGGTTTGTGTAGCTGACCCAAAATAGTTGGGGTTAAGGTTTGAGGTGTGACCATTCAGTTTAAAATGTGCAGATAAACCCATATAGGTGAAATTGACTTGTTTCCACATCTTCAGATTTCCCAACGTTTTTGCCTAAATTTGTAAAAATAACACATTTCTGTTTATATTAACAAGCTGTGTAAGAGATGCCATGGTTTAGACGGTCAACATAATTGACCTAATGCARGTTTCTGTATGCAAGAACTTTACATATCATTCTATTTAATTAGATATTGCATGAGAGGAGGATCAACATGACAGGGATACTGACTCCTGCATTAATTTTGAAGTATTGAGGAAACAAATAAAATTCTACTTTTGCAGAAATCTTTGAGATTTTACTCCCTGGTTTTCGATGCTGTTTACACACCAAAAATTACCAGACTCCTTCGAGAAGCAGGAGAGTCTGGAATCACTGTTGTTACTGGAGTGGAGATGTTCATCAGACAGGCATACGTACAATATGAAAACTTCACTGGTTTGCCAGGTAATATTCAGAGGACAAGTTGTCCTCTCTATATTTCTCCATCTTCTTCTTCTCATTTTTTAATTTCTGTTTTGGTTAGCACCCTTATTCTTGCTTTGGTTTTCTATATTTGTCCAAGTTTAGCTCCAAAGGAACTTTTTAGGGAAACCCTGGCAACACACGCCTGAAGGAGGATTAAATCATTGGGGCGGACCCTACTCAAGTTCTAATTCTATAGTTTGATTCCTGCCTAATTGTGCAAACTGCTAATTTGTTGTGTACTTTTTGAGAAATGATAATTCTCTGATTCTCTCTTTGTATGCCGGCTTAAGTAATGTGTTTGAGTAATGTATCTTTTATTATTGTGATGGAAAGAACAATTGAGGTTTTTTTTAGATAGATGAACAATTGAGTAGAGATAGACACAGAATAACGGAGAAGACTACTTCAAGAGGCGTAGGTCCTTCTTAAGACAATGACGAAGAGTTGTGTTTGGTATCATTGTTGCTTCTACCTAGGTTGAACAATACAAATTGTACGCAACCGTTATTTGAGGCTGTTTATGGTTGAAAGAGTCATACCTTAAAAAATTGGGGTTTTTATCGTTCAGTCCATCCCTAGGTGGAGCTACTAGTAGGATGCAAATTCAATTTAGGGATTGCAGTCCAAAAATCTCTAAAAAGATTTGAGGTTTCTTGTAATCATTCTAGATGAAATGAATGTGATGTGGTGAATGACAACACATCACTGGTTGGTATTGATGAACCTAAAACGTTGAAAGGTAAACTAGTGGTACCAAATACAATCCGAACGAGCCTTCCGATTTTATGTCCCATCTGGGTCTGAAGATATTGGGCTTGTGATATTGGACTAATCATGATACAGCACATCCACTCCCCATAGTTGTSATTTTATATATCAAACAGGGGGCAGCATAGTATGGTTGGTCCGCTATCCTTTAAAATAATAGATGATCGCATTTTCAGCAAAAGCAATGTTGTTAAGGATGGCAATTTTCCTTTCTTTGATCTTTATAGGATCTGTCATGAATAGGGCAGGGATGGGAATGATTTTTTCCCTACCCTGATAGAGATGGGAAAATTTTCATCCTCGTGGGGACTGGGGACAAAAGAGCATTCCTTGTCCTGCAGGGCTTCCGATCCCTACCCTATGGGAATCTACATATGCATATATTTATATATGTATTTATGTATAGTAATGTTTTTAAAATTATGATTGAATATATTTGAATATGTTTTGGTTTTTTTCTAATAGGATTGTAAATTTCAATTATTTTATTTTTAGTTTTTAAATAAAATAAAAAATAAAAATAAAACGATGGCATCAAAAAAAAAGGGTAAATTACAAAGACCCCCCGTATTATAGGGTCTGTGATATATTTTGTTTTGCAACAAAGATCCCCCCTATATTATGACTGTGAGACAAAGACCCCCTTCCATTATCCTTTCGTTGAAGTGCATCCTTATAGTATTTTTTAATCCTACACTACTCTTGTAATAACTATTCTGAAAAAAACACTGTTCATCTTCCCTTGACTTCATGATACACGAACAGCAGCGGCAGATTCTCTCTCCCCCGATTTCTCTTCTTCCCCATTTCCTCTGTTTTCCTCTGTTAAAAAACTTTGGATGCCTGAATCCCAAACCACCTGCAAGTTTGTTTTTACAGAAAGCAGTCCTCGCCCGGTGGGGATTGCTCCACCCGTATCTCCTCAATCATCTTCGCCCCCTCTAACATCGTAGGCCTCTTCTCTGCCTGCTCCACCACACAAGTCAACTCCACATTCAGCATCGCCACCATCTACTCTTCTATGTTCTTGTACCTCAGCAGCTCCGGGTCGAACACTTCCACCGTCTACTCCTCCCTCATCAGTCACCACCGATCTTACCCACTTAGAAGATCAACACCCTATTCGCCATGCGGACTTGAGGTAGGATACTGCAACGAAAGCCTCCCTGTCAGCACCTCCAATAGCAGAACCCCAAAGCTATAGACGTCTGCCTTCTGTGACAGCTTCTTGGTTTCGACTTGCTCCGGCGCTCTGTACCCTCCCAATCTCGCTGTGGCATGAACTGGGCTCAGAAGCAGGGCCAACCCAAAATCGGAGATGCATGCCACACCATTCTTGTCAAGAAGCACGTTCGACAACTTCACATTCCCGTGTGGAATCTTTGATCCACTGTACTCGTGAATCTGTGCAAGCCCACGAGCAGCTCCCAGCACCAAACTGATCCTCGTTGTCCAGTCCAAAGGAATCATCCCCAGTCCTCAATTCGCTGATTCAAATTAACAAAAAATTAATCAGTACTCAATTCGACTGCATCAAATCTCTATGAGTCGTGATTACTTAATCATTACCATGGAGAAGAGAATGCAAGCTTGGAGAGGTAATCGTAGACAAGTAGCTTCTCCTCCTTGGCGTAATAATAAGCCCTGAGATGAACCAGGTTCGGATGTCGGAGATTCCCAATCAAATCCATGTACTCTTTCCTCACACATGGGTTCGCGTCCTTGAGCCTCTTCACCGCCACCGTGCACCCATCTTCCAATACCGCTTTATAGACCGTCCCAAGGCTTCCTTTTCCCAGCATCTTCGTCAATGCCCGGAGCAGGTCCTCCAGCTCAAATTGCTTCCTTCTATCGAAGAAAACAAGCTTGCTCCGATCTGTGGCCGTTGTTCCATCGCCGTCTCCCCCACCGCCACCTCCATTGTTGGCATAAATCTTCTTCTCACCCGTATAGCTGTCGTTTCTTCGCCTGTCTCTAGAACTGATAGTCGAACCACTCTCTCCTGAACTTCTGCCGCAGTAATAAGCAACAACAAACGAAGTGATTCTCAACCACGTTGGACCTGCAGAATTCCCAACCAAACGACGTGATTCTCAACGATGTGATTCTCCTGAATTTCTGCCGCAGTAATAAGCCACAGAATTCCCAACCACAATGGCGACGATGGCGCCGGTGCTGAGTCCCTTCCGGGATTCTCCCTTCCCCGTCGGACCAGCAGCAGTCGTAGCAGGCAAGGAGCTAGGGTTGGACGGTACCACGGTCTGAGCCGACACAGCCGTGGGAGGGGAACCTGTGAACGAACAGACCGGTAACGGGCTCATACCGCAGAGCCCAGCGTTTCCCGCAACACTTCGCAATCCGAATTTCTTCACCAGTCCGGATGGCACCTTCCCGTGCAACTTGTTATTAGATAAATTTAGCTCCCTGAGCTCCGGCAACGCCGTTGAGAGATCGGGAACCTCCCCAGCAAGCACATTGTTCTCGAGTCTAATCGTAAGGAGACGAGTTAAGTTGTGAATCTCCCTAGGGATGGGACCTCGCAGATTGTTGTCGGAGAGGTCAAGCCAGAGGAGACGCTTGAAGGAACTGATCTCAGCCGGGACCACGTCGGAGAAGTAATTTCTGGCCCCCACCAGAAGGCACTCTGCAGAAGCATTTAAGACGTCCAAAGTATCAAAACCACAACCGGAGGGTTCGGAGGAAGATGAACAGTATTTTTTTTCGTATAATTATTATAAGGGTAGTATGGGGATTAAAAATAATTGCAATAACGGACTTCAACGAAGGCTAACAGAAGGGGTTTGTCTTACGGTCATAGTACGGGAGGGTCTTTGTTACAAAACAAAATACAAGGGGTCTTTGTCTTAGACCCCAGGGGGCCCTTTATAATTTATCCTAAAAAAACATGGGGAGTGGGGATCTCTATGGAGATGAAGATCCCTGCAGAAAGGGAACGGGGATGGGGAGTGGCTACCTGTCCCCACCTTGCCCCATTGTCATTCCTAAATATTATTATGTAATCAAAGGTTGAAAGTATCAACATGTATTGAGCCAATACATTTAGGTTTTCAAAACGAGTAATACAAAACCCATACCAAAGAACTTGGATCTCCTACCCACAAACTATTCCAAGTTCCAACATCTATACCCACAGAACACTGCAATTATGTATTGAGAATCTCTCCCTRTCATTCATGAGATGTTACAAATGCACTCGGCAGTGTCATGTGGGCATGGATGTGGCAATAGTTTGTGAGTAGGAGATCTGGTGTATATTGTGAGATTAATGAGAAACATGGCATATAAGAAGTGGACAAAGTTCTCATTGATATCCTTTTACTGTATTCAACTTTAATTATCATCGTATTTGGAATGTTTAACCAAGGCTTTTAAAACTGAATTGGACAACGAATTGGTCAAGGTCTGGTTCCTAGGTCGAACAATCCAACTATTCTAACTGAATAGACGGTACATTCTGACAAAAAAATTAAAAATAAAAAATAGCCAAAATTGTTGGATGGTTCAAACGGTTTGGCTGCACAGGTCAGCAATTTACTGACCAAATCAACGGTTTTTGGCAAAATAATGATTTTGGGGTAAGACAAAACCAGTCACCTAATCGGTTCCCAATTTTTCCATCCGATCTGGTCTAATTTCGAAAACCATGTATTAAACTAATGTTTTTTTTTAATTAAGACGTTGATAAATGCATTATTACCAAAATTCTCATTGTTGCCAAAGTTAATAATAGTATCATAAATTTTCAATGACAACTAAATCCAAGGTTAAATTATTATTAAAAAATATAAATATATAACAAACACATGCACATACTTTAATATTTATGTGACGTGTGAATTATTGGGATACACTTAACGAATCATGAAAATGGAAGAAGAACCAAGTATTTAACATAAATGAATATAAAWTTTACTAATACTTAAAAATACCAATTGATGAGGGGTAATTTGGCCTGATTCATTAGTATGCGGACATATGGAGCAACCTGATGATTAGATGACATTTCAACATTTCCAGACACCTCAGCAGGTCAAGTCAGTTCGGGCACCTTGAGTACCTCGGCTAAAACTAAGGTCTGAGCGGCTTATTGCGTTCAAACCTGCCGAAGTGCCACGTAGCCCTCTTCTAGAAGCTAGCCAACTATCTCTGATCTCTCTGGGATCAAGCCGCATGACAACGGACCTTATCCTTATCTTACTCAAATCGGAAAGACCTAGATAAGGCTTATCAACTCACGCGGAATCCATTTTCAGGTGTGGAACGGACTCCGTGTCACGCAGGCTGGTGATCTCGGACACGTTTTGTAAGGCCTACGACAACTTGCTAATATAAGGGCATCACCTCCAGTCTCACAGGGGATGCACGATTTAGCTTTCTTATTAGCATTCTAAGCTCTCAACTTTCTCAAAAACCTCCTATGCTAACTTAAGCATCAGAGTACCCACATTGGATAAAGTACCTCGAGACCTCTAATCTATTTATTTTGCAATTTGGCCCAGCCACGTAATAAACCGACGTCTGAACTGACTTCTAGTAGGGAGCGACCAAATCAAACATCGTCACCAATTTTAAATTTCATAAAATTTTTTATCGAGGTTAAAAAAAAATTGAAACCTATGTTATTTAAACAAATGATGTAGTGTGTTGTGGTGTAACCGATAAACATGGATTAATCGATACTATTTTAGGGCTTTGAGTGCTTTCAACCATTGATCTTCGGTCAAGGCTCAAAGTTATCCTTCCAGCGGGTCATGAAGCACCTTTTAAGGCATCTGAAAGTTTTGATGTTTTAAATGTTAAATAACTGTATTTATAACACTGTTTTCAAAACTGGAATTGGAATGGACCGGATGGTCGGAYCAGAAAAACCGAGAATTAGTCACCTGACTGATTCTGTTTTCTTTCAAAACCGTTTTTTCCCTTAAAATCGTTGATTTTGGTCAGCAAACCGCTGAATCGGTCAATTAACCGTTCGAACCATTCAAACGGTTTTGACCATTTTCTAATTTTCTAATTTTTTATTTTTTTATTTTTTGTCAGAACGGGCAGGCTGTTCAAACCAGTAACCGAACCCCTGACCGGTTCGTTAAATCATCCCCTGTAAAAATATGAAACTAAAAAAATGATGTCTGATTCACCCACAACGCCCAATACGCATGGCCCCTATCCACACTTTCATCATTTTGAACTGTTTTTTTAATGGATGCGTTTGTTTTTGGTGTATATGTGAATCGATGTAAAATTTCATTATCGGTTCACATTTGCACACATTTATTTTCRGTGTAAATACGGGCTGGGGTAAATCGATGCAAACCTTTTCATATGTTGACTTTTCTATTGATAATGGATGTATTATTTACATCAATTATCACATCAAAAAACAAACGCAGCCTATATAAATTTGGTAAATTAATTTTTTTTGTCAATTTAATTAACAAAAAGTGGCAAAGCAAGGTTTTTAAAACCATATTGGAGAAGGAACTGTTCTGGGTCCGGTTTCCAAGTCGAACGGTTCAATCGTTTGGACCGAATAGATGGCCCGCAATGACAAAAGAAATAAAAATTAAAAAAAAAAGGCCAAAAACCATTAGCTAGATCGATGGTTTGATAGCCCGAGTCAGCGATTCGTTGACCAAAACAATGGCTTTGGCCAAAAAGCAGTTTTGAGTGACCAATTCCTGTTTTTTTCAATCCGGTCCTTATCAAAAACATTGGGGCAAAGTGTTGGAATTTAAAATAGTTTGGAGAGATTTTTGTTGCAAATAAAAGTTTGGAGGGATTAAAAATTCACTACCCCTTTTTCACAAGTCACACCATCCTAGTACACTTTTGAGAGTCTGGATCTCCTGTCCACGAGAACTCTACTCACGTTTATCGTAGTCACACATGGAGAACATCTCATCTCCTACATAGTATTATGCTGAGGGAGATATTCCCAATTTACGGGGGATAGTGTATTGTGGGTAAGCGTGGGCAGATGATTTGGACTCCACTTTTGAAGCATCTTCCGTACTTGTATATTGTCATCATGGATAAATTTTCCTAATATGCACTTGGGTATGGGTGTCAATGGATGGAATTTTGGATTTTACCCCATCCAAATTAAAATCTATTTAGAATAAATTTAACAAACCAATAAAATATATTGAATTGGACCAGTCCAAAATGGTTCAAAGAAAAGTATTTACAATGGTTTAAAGTATTTATCGGATTGGATTGGACCTGATCTATCTCTAATGGATTTATATTAGGACTCTGGATCTCCCGCCCACGTTTATTCACAACAACATACTAGATACTACCCTTGTGAATTAGAAACATCTTCTTCAGAATAATACTACATCGGAGGATGAAATGTTCTTCATGTGCTGCTGCAATGTTACGTGGAGAGACGTGGGCAGAGTTTGTATGAACAGGAGATTCGGACTCGGATTGGACCCTACACCGTAACGCTTGTGAGGAGCAAATTCGGTTTCCGATTGATCCAACCGTCAGACTTGTTGACGTATGATCATTGACCAAAACGGATTTTATGTCCGGTCCAACCGTCCAGGTGACCAACATTGATGAGAACGATGAGGTTGAGTTCGTGTGCAATTCATGGAGTCATGGCGTGTGTCTTTTGAGATTTATGGGTCACTGTACATACAGTACAGCGCTTCGGATTGGTTTAGGGGTTTTCAATTATAAAGGACGATGAAATGTGTTCAGATTTGTTCCGCGTCACATCGGAAATCGTTTCTCTTGCGAGATCGGGTCGAATCACTTATGCGAGGAAACTGTTCGACGGGAAGCTAAAGAAGGACCTGATCGCTTGGAATGCCATGCTCACTAGCTATTCTCAACTGGGTCTTTTCCAAGATGCTTGGTCTCTGTTTTCCGACATGAGGGTTGCCGACATTAGACCCGATGGTTTTACATTTACTACCGCCTTGAGTGCATCCGCGGATGTAGGCAACCTCCGTTGTGGAAGGAAAATTCATGCATTAGTTGTTAGCTTTGGATACAGTTCTTCTTTGCCTGTCTCCAATTCGCTTATAGATATGTATGGGAAATGCTCTAGTCCATTTAATGCAAATAAAGTGTTTGAAGAGATGAGCAGAAAGAATGTTGTTTCTTGGTGTTCTCTCCTGTTTGCTTTCGTTAAATGCAGTCAATTTGATAGGGCGCGTGAAGTTTTTGACAAAATGCCCAGCCGGAGTGAAGTTGCATGGAATATGCTGATGGCTGGCTATGCTCGAGCTGGGGATATCCAATTAAGTATGGTTTTGTTCAAGGAGATGCAGGAGGCCGCTTGCGAACCCGACCTATGGACTTTCACAACGCTCATGAACGCTTGTGCTGAATTACCCCAGTCTTGTTATGGACGCATGATGCATGGGTTTATTCTTAAAAGTGGTTGGATCTCTTCTGTGGAGGCTAACAACTCAGTTCTGAGCTTCTATGCTAAGGTAAGCTGCCAGGACGATGCTTTTAAGGTGTTTGAGTCCATAGACGCTCGAACACAGGTCTCTTGGAACGCCATGATTGATGCCCTCATGAAAGTTGGAGATGTTAATGAAGCTCTTGCTATATTTCGGAAATCACCTGAAAAGAACGTTATTTCGTGGACAACAATGATCACAGGGTATGCAAGAATTGGGGACGGAATTCGGGCCCTTAGCTTCTTTATCGATATGACAAGGAGCCTTACCCAACCAGACAATTTTGCATTTGGGGCTGTACTTCACGCATGTTCTAACTTGGCAATTCTAGGATATGGTAGGATGATACATGGCTGTGTAATTCGCCATGGTTTTCACTCTTTTATCTATGTGGGCAATGGCTTAGTTAACATGTATGCAAAGTGTGGGGACATAGATGGATCATTGCAAGTGTTCAATGGTATTGCCAACAAGGACTTGGTATCTTGGAATGCAATGCTGTTTGGATTTGGGCTACATGGTCTGGCTATCGAAGCTCTAAGGGTGTATGAAGACATGGTGGCATCTGGGTTGAGGCCAGATAAGGTGACCTTCATTGGACTGTTGATGGCTTGTAGCCACTCAGGGCTTATAGCACAAGGCCAGGTGCTCTTTGAATCAATGAGGTCAGTTTATGGACTTCCTCATGAGGTTGATCACATAGCATGCATAGTTGATATGCTCGGCCGAGGTGGATACTTAAAGGAAGCAAGAAAGTTAGTTGAAGAATGTTCAAGGACGGCAAATATGAAAAATAGCTCACTTGAAGCTCTGTTTGGTGCATGTGCTGCAAAAGGGGATGTAGGGCTTGGGGAAAAGGTGGGGATCGATTTGATGATGATGGAACCTCAAAAAGAGTTGGGATATGTATTGTTATCAAATTTGTATTGTGCAAATGGTCAATGGAAGGAAGCAGAGAATGTGAGGAAGGTAATGATGGAGCATGGGGTGAAAAAATTGCCTGGCTGTAGTTGGATTGAAGTTAGAAACAGGATTAATATATTTGTAGCAGGGAAAAATCCACATCCACATATGGAGGAAGTGTGTAACATAATAAACTTTCTTGAATATGAAATGAGAAATCCAAGTTTTATTGGTTTTGAGAATTATAAAGACTTCATGTTTTAAGGAGTTATGGTACTTTTTTTATTGGGTAACCATTACCAGGAACTTAATGGATTATGACAGCCTCACCTTTGCATCAGGAGCAGAAAGTGAAAGATCATGGCATAATGATCACATATGGAGTCACTTAGGAATCTGGGGAATGCTCCATAATTTGCTGTACGTTTTATTGCATTGCAGATTAAGATACCATCTGTAGAAATGCTCATAAGCTAATTTACATCTTTAGTAATTATCAAATTAACATAGACCAGAATCAATTGGAAATAACTACATGTACTATTTACGTTCTCAGAAATATTGTGATGTACCATTGGTTGGACCAGAATCAATTGGAAATAACTACATGTACTATTTACGTTCTCAGAAATATTGCGATGTACCATTGGTTGTGCCAGAGATAGAAGAACAACATCAAGGGATATATTATAGGTAACAAAAGGTGAACAAGATGTGATAGGTTGCTAGTTCTGTCATCTTTGCAAGAAAAGACTTTTTGCAAGGGAATGATGTAATGAGAGAAATTTGAAAGGAAGAAATGAACAAATAAAAAACTCTGAAATGATTTTACTATGTTTTTTCCTATTTTGGATTCATGGGCTACATAACAGGGGTAGTCCATCCCTCATCCTCTTAACCCCCAACTCTGGTGGCAAAGGGATTTGATCCCAGGTCTCTGCTACCACGAGTCAGAGACCCTATGGTTCCTACCAACCCTGGTGGAAGCGAGAAATGATTCTACAATGTTGTCTCTGCATGAAAGAGTTGGAAGGAAAAGAAACATTTAAAAAGATCATTAAAGTGAGAGACCCACTATACAAATGTAAGCCCAAGAAATTTTCTAGGTGGGACTGCTAGAGACACACATTGATTTCTGTATCTCTATAAACAAAAGACCATAAACAAGGCATATGCAGCATGCTTGGAGTTTGGAGAACCTAGAGATTGTTCTTGACAAAATACATGGCTCTCAGGAGTGCAGTGTTTGGACAGGATTCATATAACCACCCCAAATGGTTGGGGTTTAAGAATTCCTTGAATGTGTTTCTAATTAGGCTTCCAGCAAACACTATATATATTAGAAATTTTCATAAACTTAAAAGCACTTATGTTGTTTTCGATTTTTGAATTCATACATCCATTTATATACACTTTTTGTGCTGTTAAAATTCTTGATTTCCTTGCATTTAGAATCATAAAATGAACTTTCCCAATGGGTTGTATAATCTTACTTCATGTTTTAGGACGCCTTTGTATTCTACCATGTAACTATTCATTGATTTTCTCATGTCTAAAGCATTTTAATGTCTGTTTAGTTTTTTTTTTTGAAATTTCTTGCGTGTTTCTATTTCTTCTGGAACTTGATGCATGTAAGCATCTATGTATTTATGCATGTATATCTGCATATCTTTGTATTTGAAGTGTTGAACCATCTTAGTTCTCTTCTATATGTTTTTCATATTTTTTTCCCATGTAGGTATGCATGTAAGCACTGATAATTTAACAATGTATATGACATTAAACAGAATGAAATGGCAAAACAGGATTCATGTAGCCCACCCCATATATTCTGACAAGACTTGGATGATGATGATCAGACCTGTTCATGGGCCGGGCCGGGCCGGGCTTTGACTCTTTATTAACAGAAAACTGTTAGGCCCGAGCCCGAGCCCGGCCCGACCAACGGGCCTACAACTTGGGCCCGAGCCCGGCCCTGATGAAAAGCCCAAAGCCCGAAGCCCAAAGCTCGACCTAATAAAAGAAATTCAAAATTTTCTGACATTTTCTATTTTAATTTAAATGTTTTTTTCCCCTATTTAAATGAACAATGGGTCTACAAGTGAATCAATGACCTCAAATCAAAAAATTTATTCAAATAGACATCACATAGGGTTTTTACTTAGGTTTAACTATAGGTCAGGCCGGATTTACTTAAGTTTAACTATAAGTYGGGCCGGGCTATTTTAGCAAAGCCTGAGCCCGGCTCGAATTTTATGCGGGCTGGGATTTTTGGCCCGAGGTTAAGCCCACAGGCCAAAAATCCTGTTCAAGCCCGTCCGAGAGTCGGGCTGGGCCGGGCCGGCCCGTCGGGCCACCCGGCCCATGAACAGGTCTAATGATGATGATGATGAATTGTCTCTTTGGTATCATCAGTTTGACATCTCTACTGGTATGAATGAGTTCATAGCTTCTCTATAGGATTGAAGCACCTTGCAATGTTGTGTTGCTTTATGAAGTATAAACTTATAGAAGCTAGTCAAGCTACACATTTTTGTTATTGATACTATTTTCATGATATATTCTTGTTGTATTTACATTAGTCTAAATGCAAAGAAAAATATGAAGTAGTAAAAAGGACAAAACGTGAAATTAAAATAGCTTTAAGCTTTAAGAGTTTGAGGAATTGTTGGTCTYGGCTTTTTTTTTCTCTAAATTATACTACATTGTTTTTCACCAGTTTTTTAATTCAAATGTTCCACAATTATAAATTAATGTATATATTTCACGTTGCACTTTATGTAATTGCATTATTGATCACTAGCATAATGTGAAAAATATTAGTTTCATGTGTCTTATCATGGTAATTTTTTTTTTTTGTAAAATAAATTTATTGTGTGCAAAAATTGTTATTCAATTCATAGAATTATTTGCATTTGTAAATTTTATTCAAAATGTTAGTATTTTGGGGTTAGTTGTTCAAAGTTTGTTTCATTTTTTTAAATCCTATTGTATTGTTTTTCACCTAAACTAAATCACTTTATATAGCATTTTTACCCATTTGTTTTTCATCCATTATCTAGCAGTCATCAGAAAAGGCATTTTAAAAAAGAGAGAAGGAAAAAAAAGAAAAAGAAAAATTGCAGTTCCAAGCTTTATTATTATCAATGTAGGTGGTAATTTGAAAGTTATTATTTTTGAGAACATAAAAAATGAATGGTTTTCAGGTTTCACTCACATGTATTCTATCTAAATGGTTGGTTACAAACTTTGCAGACTATTATGAAATTGTGCTTCTACATATCACAAAAACGTAATCTACCAGAATTTGGCTGCAAATATATCATATTTGATTTGTTTGAAACGGATTCAGATTGAGTGGGGTTAGATCTGTTTTACCAAAATAGGGGGAAAAAGTAAGAAAAACTGATTTCAATTTGATTATTAAGGGGGTGTTTGTTACTGCAGTAAACAACTAATTCCACTCCGTTTCGGAATGTACCATGAAGAAAAGCACGCTCTTTCAAGCTGTAACACATTTTGGGGCTACATTGGATTTTGGAACTGAAAATATCATGTGTTTGAGCCACACCAAAAATCTTGTCCTTCAAAAACATCACACTTTGGGACATTGATGAAATATTCATTTAGTATATTTTGATGAAAATATTTGTATTTGTATTTCAAATCACAGTACTTTGAAACACACCATACAACCACCATAAAGAATGTATGGTGAATTCCAAAATCTGTCATTTCAACTTCACAATAATTGGGTCCAGTAACTTGAAATGCATGACATTTTTTTTGTGGCCACAGTACTGAGCAAGCCCTAAATAATAGAAGTAATTTCCAAAATCCAGATCTGAAGTATTTATATAAACAGATTGTCAGAATCCAAAATAATTGGATATTTTTTATATTTTTTGAARGGCTACAAATGGGGTAGTCCATTCCTAACCCAGGTGCAGGTGCAGGCGAGACGAGTACGGTTAACAGAAGACCTTACCAACTAGTTGGTTAAAGTCTTGAACTTTTCAACTCCTTTGACAGCCTTATGGGCACCCGTTTAAGTTGGATAACATCTTGGTTATTACATCCATAAAATTGGATTCTGTTCATACTTGGGAGCCCCTGGTTCGGAAAGCCTAATTGCATTCATACAAATTTAAGGTAAAGCTGCAAACTGATCATGTGGAATTGAATATACCTTGTTCCAAACTTGATACGTTACTATTTGAATCGAATATTATTTGTTGTATTCATATTGGTTTCTAATCAAATTCGGATTGCAAATAAGATATTGAAAAGCATTAATAAATTAAACTAAACATTATTAAAATATCATGGTTAGTGCAAATGTCAGTTCAGTGCATGTATGCACTCTGGTTCAGTTTTTCTTGTGTTTGGTAAGCATGCATTTATGTATTGAAAGTGATAGGTTTCATAAATTTCTAGGTATGTTTGCACCCAAAATGAGAGCAAAGCTTTCGTGCACCTCAAAGTTGACCAATGTTAAAAAGGTATATTTCAATGTCAAGATTCATGTTTGCACCCAATATAACTAAAAATTGTTTGGCATGAAAGTAAATTTATCACTACAAAATTAAACCAAATGGAACCTATATACCTAAACTATATAATTCAGGTTGGTCTCCTTGTATGTCATAAAAACAAAATGAGAATATAGCACCATATCATATCATAAGACATTTAAAAAATATACAATGAAAATTTGAAAATATGTTTTTACTTTACTATTTTGCCCTTTAATCTTTACTTGCATATGTGCAAGCACGTACCCTTACATGAGTTTTTAATAATGAATTAAAAGTAACTATGATATTCGTAAGCAATTTGGATTGAAAACAACTTGTGTCAAACTTGAACCTACCACACTATAGTCATACCTCCTAAACCCAATTCTATGACACTGTAGAAAGCAATGTTTTAAAAACTGACTCAGAACTAGAACCATTTTGGCTACCAGGTTTTGAATCAACATCTCAACCATCCTGTTCAAACGGATGGTACATTCTAACAAAAAAAAAWTTAAAAATAAAATAAAAGAAACAGCCAAAAGTTGTTGAATGGGTCGACAGTTTGATCGCCCTGGTCAACGGGTCATTGACCAATTCAACGGTTTTTTGCCAGTGTCCAAGTTTGGAGTAAATCAAAACCGGTTGCCTGGACGATTCTCAGACCAAATGGTCCAGCCATATGGGTCAACGACGGTTTGAAAACATTGTTAGAAAGGCATTCTTGTATGATTCACATTTATTATTAATAAATGTTTTTTTTTCTTTTGCAATTATACGAATAGTCCTTGGGTTATATGTCAATATGGTATACTCAAAAGTATGTTAAGAATTTTAGATATGCTTTTCTTGACACAAGATTCTTAATTAGTTTTTGGTCATAGGATTATCAAGAAGACTTTGATAATTTAGATGGATTGGCATATATTATACTTGCATCCAAGGGTGACAAATCTCAAG